CCCTTGTTTTCTCCTGACGAGCTCTCGTCACTAGACACAAACTCTTTGCTCTTGAAGCTCTCACTGAGCTGCCTTGACGCCGACTTGGACGATGAGCCCCTGGAGGGTGTTGACTTCTTTTCTGTCTTTACTTTAACTTTCTTCTTCTTCTTCGACTTGTCCCTGAATTAGCAAGAGGAGAAAAGGGGCCTTCAGGCTCGCCCATCATCAACGAGGCCAAACCTCTCCCGGCTTTAATGGGGCCCTTTCCCAGTCCCAGCCACACTGCCGCTTCACACCACATGTGAACAGCCAGCCGTGTCAGCCCAAAGCGCCCCAAGCCAGAGCATCACAAGTCACGATAGCAGAATAATCAGGGGTCACAGCCGGAAGCAGCCCCATATGCAAAACTTATTTGAAATCTCTGATCTTAAAAAAATTCACAGGAATTATGCATCATGTTTCATTGTAACTTTTTTTTTTCAATCCTCCATACCTGGAAATAAAATTGGCCCTCCAAGAAAATGAGTCATGTTTATCCACTGACTTCCAGAACGCCCCAGCACATTACCCATACTCGACCAACTGCTACCCAGGCTTGAAAAGCACAAGCCTACTGCAGTCAGAGGCCTGTCTACCATCTTTAACATCCCCATTCCCAACCCCGACCTGCAAAGATAAATCTGCCAGAAAAGCGGCTGCTGAACCATTTTGTTGCCAATACTCACCTCTTGGAAGACTCACCCCGGCCCCCTTCATATTCTTTCATGGCTTTCTCATATTCCCTCCTGGCGTCCTCAGCCTTGCGATCCCACTCCTGTCACACACACACACACACATACACACACAGACGTGGAGAGGCGGCACGAAGAACAGGACCTCCCTCCAAGGCGGGCGAAACCTCCTGTGCAGGAAAGCTCCACCACTGGCCCAGCTCACCCCCTCTATCATAGGTGACATGACTCAGCACTTCTCACCAGCCTCATAACCCACTCACCTCTTTCTTCTCTTTGGACATTCCCTTCCAGATCTCACCCGCCTTCTTGGAGAGATCAGTGATGCTGATGCCAGGGTGGTCTGACTTGATCTTCTCCCGACTGGCATTGAGCCATAGCATGTACGCAGACATGGGCCTCTTGGGGGCATTAGGGTCTTTGCCCTTCTTCACCTGCACAAGGGCAACCCAACGTCTCAGCTATCCATTCCCCACAGACCCCAGTCTCCCAAAGCAATGATCTGGGTCTTCTACTTGGGGCAAACATGGAGAAGGACTCTTCGGCAGCCTAAACAGAGAGCTCCCTGAGGGCAGGGGTGCTGTGTTCCTCCTTTCCATACCCCAGTGCCTAATTCAGATCTCCTAGAAGCCGAGTTGCACCTCCAGGACCAGAGAGGAAAATCTCCCAGCAGATACTCCTCAGACCCTAATCGGGCAGCCCCAAGAGGACCAACCGACAGGTCTCACTGGTGGTGGACAGGGAGAAGGTAAAGGGAACGGCTCCCTCCAACACCTGCCAATCTAGAGGCGAGTCCGCACCTCCACAGGCTTCTTACGGCTCTTGCGATCCTTGGCCATCTTGGCCTTCTTGAGCTGTTTCCGCTTCTTCTCATCCCGGTCACTGTCACCCTCATTACTGGAGGAGCTGGCAGAGGCGTTGCTGTCGAACCTGCCAGAGAATGGGGCTTAGACCTGGGAGGGAGGACAGCGCCCCCAGCCTCAGGACAGGAAGACCAGAAATCCAAGGACACTTGCCCAGGAAGGAGGGAGGATGGCCACAGGGCAGGCTCTACCACTGATCTCCAACCCTGCTTCCTCCCGTTCACTGAAGTGGCTTCAGCCATCCTCTCTCCAGACCCAGCCCAGGCAGTAGGTTAGACAAGTCAATGAAGGAAAGCCACTGAATCAATGAGCATCAGCTGCTCCTCTCGGTCAGGGCCTAACCCAGCCCCATCTCCATCCACATGCAGAAGAGGCAGGGAAAAATGCCCCAGGTCCACTTTACCACTTCCTTTCAGTTAATGGTCTTAGCCTGCGCTAGTCTTTCCTGAACGGGTAATTTTGTTGCTTTCAAAAATTGGGAAATCCAACTTCAGTCCCACCTGGTACACACCATGTAATTAACCGACCTGCCCAATGCAAGATGAAACCCCCTTACACTTATATGGTGCTGAGCAGTTCTGAAGGTACATTCATGAGCTTTCCACTCATCAGCCTTCAGAAGCCAGGGGCACGCAGAGCGAGTGGACATCTGTTGTTTCCTCTGCCCAGTATTCCTTCCCAGTTCTTCTTAAGTCTCACTTTCCCATTGGCAACCACCTGGCCTGCACTCAAGTGTGTGAGCTTCACTCCAGCCAGACTCGAAAGGTGGCCACACAGCCTTGTTCTGGCGCCCATCAGGGCCCAGCACACCCCAAACAATAACCCAGACACAGAAGAGACCCATTGCCATCCATTTTCAGCTGCTCTGAGCAGAGAGCAACTATCTGTCCGCTGGGTGCAAAACCAGTGGGATCAACCCTGCCCAGAGCTGCGGGGGCCATCTGGCACCACACAGACAAGCTGTCTGACAACAAGGAAATCAGAAGACACAAAAACAGACTCCTCACCACAGTTTCTGGGCACCTGGGTACAGTCGTGTCTGAGGACAGTTGCATCGCTGGACTCATCAGTTGCATGAACTTATAAAATTCCCTTTTGGGCAAAGTTTAGTTGGTGTCCTAGTGACGACACTAACAACCAAGAGTCTTAACTAACAGAACATGAGGAACTACTGCCGTTTTACAGACAAGGAAACAAGGTTCCACAACCTACCCATGGCCTCCCAGCTAGTAAGCAGGCAGTGACTGGCTCTCATTCCCCATGTCTCCGCACTACACTCTTCTAGCATCCCAACATGGCTTGCACTTCAAAGCCCTTGCCACGCGTCACCTTGCTGGAGGTCCCTTTTCCATCCTGGGATAATGGCTAATGCTGGGACATGAGGATTGTCCAGAATCCTCTGGTCCCTTAAGCTTACAGGCCACCCTCTCACCCCCACAAGGTGCAGCCAAAACTCACTCCTCAGCCACGTCTTCCTCCTCTTCCCCTGGGTTGAAGGATTCATCTGAAAACAAAGCCCAGGAGGTGTCAGCTTCTGCCTCCCCCAGATGCCCGGCTCGGGCCCCGGGGTGAGCGCAGCCCCGGCTGCCACAGAGGCGGCCGAAGAGCACCCACCAGTCTCCTCTCCGGAGTCATCGCTGCTGTCGTTGGCATTCTCCTCCCGGATCTTGCCCTCCTCCTTCATCCGCTCCAAGTAGGCATCGTGCTGGTCTTCATCCGAGTCGGCATACTCGTCGTAGCTTGGGTTCATGCCCTAGCCAGGGAAGACATGGGCATGAGGGCCCCAGGTGCCCCCTCTCCAAACCCCTGCACACTCAGAAACACACCCCATGCCTGTGAGTAAGGTCAGAGCGGCAGCCACAGAAGACGCTGAGGCTGGGCTGTCCACACTCAGCCAACGTGCAGGGCCCTGCCCGAGTATTTCCTAGTGGCTGGGTTAGCCCAAGCCCCGCCCTGTCCCAGCCCCACCGGGGCCCCGAGGGGCCGCAGAGACTATGCTAAGGCCATGCCGAGGAAACCTGCACCAGGAGGGGCAAGGGGTCCCACGCACCTCTTTTTTCTATAAGGGTAAGAAGAGAAGAGAGAGGGAAATGAAAGCCAGAAAAGCTCCCTGCCCCGTGCTCCCCTAAAGGAGGACAGGAGAGAGGCCCATCCTTCCCACACAGACAGGCACCTCTTTCAGTCCTCGGTTTTTGATGTTGAGCTTCTTGGCGTTGACAAAATCAAACAGCTTCCCATACTCCTCCCTGTGAGAGGAGATGTACCCCGTCACCAGATGGCTGGAGCCCACGCAGGACAGACAGAAGGACGTTCTGATACCCACCAACCCAGGTAGAGGGTGGGGCCTGGCAATCGTGACCTTATTATCTAACCCCAGAGCTCAGAGACCCCCAGAGATCAATAGTAGGGAAGAGTCAGACAGCAGCCCTGGATAAGGAGCCTGTGTAGCTCTGCAGAGGAGAGGGGAATACCTATTTCCCAAACACACAAAGACCACGACGAGAACGTTGGGAGAGGGGCGGGTTTGCGTCTCATACTTCACAGGGTTGTTGGGAAGATTAAGGTTGGAGACGTTCGTCAAGCGTTCCACCCACAATGAGCACACAAAAAACACTAGCCACCCTGTTCTCAGGCACAACAGTCACTCCAGGAAAGAGAAAGCGAGCATTTCCATCGTGGGGGAGTTGAGGAGAAGAAAGGCTAGCCCTGAACACACACAGCCTCTGTAATACCGGAAACAAGTTTCCTTACGCATAGAAAGCAAGCAACAGAGGAGCTTCCAAAGGCTGGGCCTCGAGAGAAAGACAAAACCCCAAAGAAAAACTCTTCCCAAGGCTTGGGAAGTCAGGAAAGGGGCAGAGCCACACGGGACTTCCCAGCAGAGGTGGGGTAAGGCTGCACAGGTAGTGACAGGTGGAGCGGCTCACCTCTCGATGCTGCTGAAGGTGTACTGAGTGCCCTGCTTGGTCTCAATCTCAAAGTCAAAGGAGCGTGTGGTGGTGGTGCCGCGGGCAAAGTTGACAAAGGAGATCTCATCGAAGCGGATGTGCACGGGCGGCTTGTGCACGTAGATGAAGCCCCTCTCCAGCGGGTACAGCAGCCCCGAGCTCGCCTTGTAAGAGCAGGTGATGCACTGGGCCCCTGAGTGCCTGGGGTGGGGAGGGGCCCAGGCAGCCTGGTCAACGCCACCCTCACCAGCAAGACGGCAACGTGGACCTAACACACACATCCACACATACCCGGGTCCTCACTGGAGTCTTGCCCAGCTGCTCTGACAGAGGCAAACTGATGCAGCTTGACACAAAAGGGCCCAGCCAGGCCTCCAGGAGCCTGCCTTCCCATTCCAGGAGGGATGGGCCAAGGAGACACGGCAATTCCCACCCCCCGACGGGCCAGGACCCCGCCCTGAGCCCTCACCCTTGGAAGTTGCCAGGGACTGTGATCTTGCGGTTCACCAGGGCTTTCATGACGCGGCTGACCATCTCGTAGAGGGACCCGGACATGTTCTTGGTGAGCCGCCCCTCAAAGCGCTTCTCCACCTCTTCCCTGGCAACAGAGATAAGGTCATGAGCACTGCTCCCAGGCAGGCCTGTCCCCGGCCCGGACAGGAGCAGGAAACAAGCCCAGGGAGGTACTCACTCATTCATGTTGAGAGTCAAGGATATGTCTTCATCCTTGGAGAAGAGGAGGATCAGGAAATGGTAACGGGTCTGGCCCTGCTTGATGGGAGGATCCAGGCTGATCTGGTAAGAAGACAGGACGGGGTTAAGCACCAGCCTGCTCCCCAAAAGCCTGCTGCTTAACCAACACAGAACCCGGAATGTGGCCGAGGCCCACCTACCAAAGACAGGCATCAGCAGGCCAGTCCACCTCCAGGGGTTTCTGCTTACCACAAAGAACATCTGGCGCTGGTCCTTGTGGGGCAGCAAAAAGAGACGGAGCACCGTCGTGTAGGGGATCTTGTAGTCAAAGGTCTTGCCGTGCAGGTGAAGAAAGGTGGGGTAGATCCGGATATCGTACCGGCCACGGGGAGTCAGGCACTGGAGCTCCCGGAAGATGCAGATGGCGTCTCCAGTGGCCTGGATCACGTCTGCCTTGGACAGCACGTTCTGGGCAAAGGCCTGCAAAAGCACAGTGGTGATCGGACTGCAAGCCCTGTTCCTGGGCCAGCAGAGACTTGCTCAGCACCACCTGCCCTACGGCATCCAGCGGAGGGCTCACCTCGACGGGGTCCACACCGTCTTCCTGGGTGGGAGGCACATAGAAGCGCACCTCCATGAGAGAAACCTCCGCGTCGTCATTCTGGTGGAACTCCAAGGTCACCTCATTCTTGCCTGTGGTGCACTGGGACACATTGCTGAGGGGTATCTCAAAGACTGGCTGGTCACCGATATCAAAGGAGAGCAGCTGCCCTGTGGGGGGAGGGCTGATCAAGCCAAAAGCTCCTCCCTGGAGCCGACAGGAACAACGTCCCCGCCTGACGTACTGGGGGCACAGGGACTATTTTGTTCACACTGCACCCCCAGTGCCTAATGCATGACAGAGAAAAAAATACCGCCACCGCTAATCAGTTTCAACTCACAGCAAACCTACAACAACCCTATAGGACAGAGTAGAACTGCCCCATACAGTTTCCAAGGCTGTATATCTTTACAGAAGCAGACTTCCTCACCTTTCTCCCTCTGAGTGGCTGGTGGGTTCAAACCATTGACCTTATGGTTAGCAGCTAAATGCCTTAACCACTGTCCCACCAGAGCTCCTGAGAACTAGAAGTACTCAACAAATGCAAGAACAACTTATAGAAAAGCAGAGACAGCGACCGGGGGGAAGAGAGCCAAGCAAGTTAAAAGCTGTAAGCTTCCATTTTACCTTCTCCCCTAAACCTCAGTCTACCCAGAACTCACCGCCAAACTTCACTGTCCCCCAGTTCCAGCCCTTCACACATAGGTCCTTCTCCATTAACTCAAGGCGATAGTGAGTTTTGAAGAAATCAGAGAGTTTCTCAAACTCCTGTGGGTGGAAGGGAGAGAGAATGATTCCAGTAAACCCCAGTCACCTCAAACTGACTTGACTGTCCTAGGATGATCTATGTCTGAGAAAATGCCCCAATATACCCTTTATCACAAATCCATGCTGATTTAGTCTCAGCAATAAAAGGGTTAAAAGATGTTGAAAGAAGTTGCTTCCAGGGATCAGAGCTCATGCTCAGGGAGAGCTGTTAGGAACTGACATTCTTGGTTTGGGGCCTGGCAGCGCTATCAGACTTTTTAAACTCTCTACGGTATCACCTTCAAAAAGGCAAAAACTAAAATGAGAAAAATTAAAATTAAAACTCAGAAGCAATTCAAAATGGAAAATCAAAACTAAAACATCAAGCTAAGATTTTAAACCTGAATAAGGGCAACGTGAAAACCACCATCTAATCCAAAGAGAACACCTTCTGGAGTCGAGGCGTAAAGACACAGGCCTTCAATACCCAAAGCTGAGCACTTGTTTGCTTGGTAGCTTTGATGGCCCCAATCTAAGTCAAAACCAAACCCACCACCCTTGAGACAACCCTGTGTGTTACAGACTAAAACTGCTCCATAGGGTTTCCTAGGCTGTAATCTTTATGGAAGCAGGTTGGCAGGCCTTTCTTCTGTAGCAAGGCTGTGTGGGTTCAAACCGCCAGCCTCTGTAACATTAGTTGAACCGTTGGTGCCACTAAGGGATCTCTAGCCCCACTCTACCAAAAAAACAAAACCCAAACTCACTGCTGTCGAGTCGGTTCCCACTCACAGCGACCCCTCCTTAGGTTTTCAAGGAGGTATCTCTACAAATGTAGAATGCCCAGTCTTCCTTCCGAGGAGTGGCTGGTGGGTTTGAACCGCCAGCCTTCCGGTTAGCAGTCAAATGCCTTAGGCACTATGCCATCAGAGCTCCTAGCCCCACTCTGTTGTTGTTGTTGTTATGTGCTGTCGAGTCAGCCCTGACTCACAGCGACCCCTCCTTGGGTTTCCAAGGCAGTATCACTACGGAAGTAGAATTGCCCAACCTTCCTTCCGAGGAGTGGCTGGTGGGTTTGAACCGCCAGCCTTCTGGTTAGCAGTCAAGTGCCTTAGTCACTATACTACCAGAGCTCTTACTCTCTCTAGGAGGTTAAAAACAAACAAGAGCACAGCGAACATGGGATTTATTCCGACAGAACAGCTTACCGATTCTCGGAAGCCATCATACTTGTAGACATGGCCATTCTTTGTGAGCAGTTTAAGTCCATGGCCCAGAGCTACACGGCGCCAGATGCCTTCTGTCAACTCCCCGGCCTGGATGTTGTCCACTTTGCCCGTCTTGCTGTTCTTGAAGATGATGCCTTGGCGGCTTAACCTCAGTCGACCATCATTCTGCCGGACAAACAGGCCCAGATATGCAGATGGTAAGGTGCACAGCGTCACCAGCCGCCGCATTCTGCTGCCGGTGGGCTGGCCACGGATCAGTGCAGAATCAACAGCTGAAGCGGTGAGGGTCTAATCCTGGCTCCAGCACCCAGAACCCCTCCAGGCCCTTGGTCTCCTCACTTGTAACAGGGATTGGGGACTGAACAGCATAGACGATGCCTTTGTACACTGAGATCCTATTACTCTAAGAGTGCCTCTCTGTACTGCCTTTTGCTAGGGAAACACAAGGTACAGGTACACCTCATGTTACTATGCTTCGCTTTATTGGGCTTTACAGATCTGATGTTTTTTTTTAAAAAACAAAGGTCTATGGAAACCCTGCACCGAGCAAGTCTATCAGCACCATTTTTCCAACAGTGTGCGCTCCCTTTGTGTCTCTGTGTCACGTTTTGGTAATTCTCAGAGTACTCCAAAGTTCTTCGTAATGCCATCACACACTTAATAGAATACAGTATAGTAAAAACATAACTTATACATGCACCTAGAAACCCAAAAAATTCATGTGACTCCCTTTACTGCGATATTCACTTCACCGTGGTGGTCTGGAAACGAACTTGCGATTCCTCCGAGGTATGCCTGCACACACAATATTCTGAATCCTCCTTCGCCAGAGAAGTAACGTCATCAAAGCAAGCTCTTCTTACTTCCCTTACCTTCCCTCCACCTGTATTAAAGCCCAACCCTTCTCACCATGGAGCCTTTCACCTCCTGGTAGATATCGTTGAACTCCAGCGTCTCTGCCATGCTGACCTGGCCCCTGTTGGCCTGGGCACGGAGCCCCAGGCTACGCAAGGGGAAACCGGAGACAGGAGCCGGGCCCAATCCTTGGTGGTTGTACAGATGATCAGCAGGTTAAGAATCTGAATTCAAGAGGAGGATAGATAAGCATGAAAGCCAATACAATACCTCACTCTGCTCACGGCTGGAGCCAGGCTGCAACCCCTGGCTGGGCGTGGGATGTCCCAGGATCTGCTCTGCCTGGGAACCCCCAGGCGGGCTCTGCAGAGCTCAAGGGGCAAGGCCCAGCCCCTGCTGGAGAACCGACCTGGAGGAGCGCTTATACCCCACCCCGACACCGGCTCAGGGGCTCCGCCGGGCGCCATGGCAACGAACAGCAGAACCCCAGAGCCTGCTCCGAGCCCCAAACTCGCCCCGCGCCCCAACACAGCTCCGGGTGCAGGGTTTCCCTCCCAGCATTCCCACCATTCCACGGCCCCAGACCCACAGCTCCCCCCTTCTCGTAAAATGGAACCGCCCGCTTCCCGCGCATTCGAACGCGGAACAGACCATCTCAAGCGTCCCGCGGGGGAGCGGGACCTGCGCCCTGCCGGGGCACGAGGTCGGCTACCACCCACCTCAAGCTACAACCTCGCGAGGGCCCCGGCGCGGGCGGTGGGCTCGCTGGGGGACGCAGGGGGGGCGGGGGGTGGGGGGAAACGCTGGGGAAGCTTTTCCCGCGTGCGCGGCCCCTCGTCCCGCCACCGGAAGCCGCGCACATACCATCGAGAGGAGGAGTTGGCTAGAGGGGCGCGAGCCAGTCCCGCCTGTGAGGCGGTTACGTAGAGCGTCCACGGTTTGGGAGGACCTGAAGTCAGCGTAGCGCGGGGATGGAATTTGACTAGGAAAGGGGAGCGCGTGGGATTTTTACAGAGCTAAAGACACTTCTTCAGTGGAGGACTAGATTCTAAAGGGAAATTATGGAGTTTTACTTCATCAGCCTCTCCACACGGGTATGTTTATGTTGAAACGATCATACATGTCCCTCTCTTTCCTGTGCAATAGGGGTTTCTGTACAAAGAAGCCTGTGCGACAAGAAGAAAACTATTTAAAGCTTGTGGAGAAATGAACCCTCCCACTGTCTGCGAAGAGAATGCCAGTGGCGCTGTCATTGTGGCTACTGCTTCTAGTTGTGCCCTGTCAAGTGGCATTGATTCCTTTTTGAAATGAGTTCACTGCACCCAAAAACGTCACATCCATAGTCGCAGTTTGTGGGCCCCGTGGCACAGTGCCTAAGGCATTTTTGACTGCTTACCAGAAGGTTGGTGGTTCAAACCCCCATCCACTCCTCGGAAGATGGGGCAATCTGCTTCCATAAGGATTTGCAGCCTTGGAAACCCAGTGGAGGTAGCTATGAGTCGGAGTTGACTTCATGGCAGTGGAGGTTTTGAAGGAGGTTGAAAAAGACGTGGCAGTCAGCTTCCATAAAGATTTACAACCTTGGAAACCCTACTAGACAGTTCTACCTTGTCCTATAGGGTCTCTATGAGTCACAGTCAACTTAGTGGCAGTGGGTTTGGGGTTTTTGGAAGAGGCTGGCAAATGGCAATATCAAGTTCAAGTGCTGGTGTCAGATTCACCTTGGAGCCAGAACTGATTTGAAACCACAGCATTCTGGGATTGCCATAGCCTCCTCATATAATTCCAGGGTGCGTCTTGCAAAATCAGACAACCAGAGCTGGAAGAGATGTTTGAATTGATCTAATCCAGACTCCTTTTGCAGATGGGAAAACTGAGGCCCACAAAGGAGTTTCCCACGGTCTCTGAGTTGGTAACAAAGCTGAAGAGTAGAAGATAGATCTCCTTTCCCCCGTCCAGTTCTTGTGTCGTAGTCACAGTGACTCTACATTCCGAATACTTGGTAATACATGTCGTGCGTGGCCACATTCAAACCAAACTCACTGCCATCGAGTCAATTCTGACTCACAGAGACCCCCATTTCTAAGGCTGTAAATCTTTACAGAAGCAAACCACCTCATCTTTCTTCCACGGAGCAGCTGGTGGTTTGAACCACCGACCTTTTGGTTAACAGCCAAATGCCTTAACCACTACACCACCAGAGCTCCTTGCATGACCACATTAGGACAGCATATTTAAATTTAAGATTCCCTGACAATCTGACTCAAAATAGCCATCTTGCTAACTCAGTGCTAGGATAAGGGACAACAGAAATGCACTGTTGTCCCCTGAACTTGTGCCTTTAATCTCTGTCTAGTGGCTGTTGCAGCAAGTCTAGAAACATAAATTCCATTGAACCCAGTAAATATATATTAAAGGCCTATTACTAATCCAACACATCTCTAGGCTTCAGGCAAACTAGGGAACAAGATGGAAACAGCACCAACTACCAGGAGCCCGTACTCTAATGAATGGTTCCAATAATTAGTTATAACTGTCATGTTACATACAGGTGGGGCTTCAGCCACTGCCCACTGGGGTTAGAGATGTGTGATCCTTTACTCACGCCCTCCCAGGAGACCCAAAGAAATGTGCAAGAGACCCCTGCTCCTGGCCCCATGCTACTGGAGGAAAGGCAGGGGATGGCTGCAGAACTGGGTGGCTGTAGGCTTACCCTCAGGAGTGAAGGGGCTACTCAGCTAAGGATGGCTATGAGGTGGCTGGGGGATGGGACATAGCAAGGGGCTTTGGAGAGAGCAGAGCAGCTGGTGAGTTGCAGTGAAAGAGAATGGAACAGAGACGGTAGACAGAATGCAGATAAAACATGAGTCCCAGAGGGCCCTTCCCAGCTGCATCCCAGGCAATCAGGAGCCCAGCACTGGAGACCCACCCCCGCTATGACATCACAGCAGAAGGGGGTGGAGACAAACAAAAAGGGGGTCCCCCGCCCTGGCCCTAGACTCTTGACAGCCCAGAGTGTCAAGAACAGAGAGAGCCTGGGCACTGGGCTTAAAGGAACAGGATCCCCATTCCAGACCCCCTCTCAGCTGTCCCGTCTAGCTGCCCCATCTGGGCCTCCGGCTCTGCCCCCCTGCCCAGAGGACCTCTCCTTCCTGAGGCTGCTGTTTGGCCTCTCCTGGGTGGCCCCTGGGCACTCCCTCAGCATGAACTGCATATCAGACTTCTTCACCTATGAGACCACCAAGTCGGTGGTTGTGAAGAGCTGGACCATTGGGATCATCAACCGGGCCGTTCAGCTCCTGATCATCTCCTACTTTGTGGGGTGAGTGTGTGGCCCTTCAGGTCCTAGAAGGGGAGGGCTGTCTGAAAGCCTTACTGTACAGCCTCCTGAGCGTCTCCTTTCTAGGGAGAAACAGTTTCTTCGGTGGAGCCATGTCCTAAGGACTGGCCTCTGCTGCCCCCACTCAGGATCTGATCTCCAGATGAGTGTTTTACCCCAGTAAATCCTCCAGGGATAGAGAGCGTTCCCAGACACACACCCTGAGGAGTGGGGTCTCCCACCAAGGGAGGTCCCTGGGGATCCACCTCTCTTCTCCCCTCCCTCATCTCCCCCTCAAGAAACAGGCAGACCACCTCCCTTATATCCCTTCATGCCCCTTGGTCAACTCTTTGGGTCTCAAAAGATAAAGGAGCTTAGGAAAGGGGCGGAGAAGGCCCTGAAACAAGGAAGATTGTGACAGATTGATCGGGTTGGTGGCAGACTGGACTAGCTGGAAGCAAAGGATCCATTTAGGAGTGAGAAATTTCGCTCCTGGCATGGAGGAGATGGTGAGGGAGCTTGGGAAGGGGAGAAGCCCTTGCTCTCGGAGAGTAGGACAAACCTGGGGCATGGGGAGGACATGGGCACGAATGGTACTCAAGGGAAGAGGTGGTGAAGAGAAAAGTGGCTTTAGTGACAATGCTGTGGAGTCCCTCGCCAAGAATCCCGATATGTTCCCCTTTGCCAGAAAGCATAGAGCCCCTTATACTTGACTTAGTGCTGCGTAACCCATCCTAGGAGATGCTTAAGAGCCTTCTCTGAGTTCCCACGTCTGGGAGGCTCCCCACACACAAAGGACCATGGAGCAGACAAAGGCCGGGGAAGAAAGCCAGGTTCTGCCCTCCTTGTGATAGTTTTCACAAACTGGTGGGCACCAGGAAATTCCCTGGGGGGTTTTCTTTCCTGGGGTGTGTACCTCTAGTCTCCTGCCATTCCCTGAGACAATGAGTCTGCGTGTGACAGACGGCAAGTCAGTGTCTAACTGCCATGAGTTAATTCAAGCAAGTCAGAGAGGACTCCTGTGTGCACGTGGGCTGGGATCTGCACCCGAGGGGGTCTGCTTGGCCGAGAGGCTGGGACAGTGCGTGAGGGTGTGCGTGGAAAGGACAGAAACGTGTACAAAGCGGTTCTTTGCTCCTCACACTTGTGAGAGAGAGCCAGTGAGCTTCGATTGTGTGGACGATGCAGACCAGGCTGTACTTCCAATGCCTTGTGGGGCTGTTAAAGAAGGGATTCAAGTTGAAGGAGGGATGAAATGGCCTTGAGGGTCCCTTGCAACCATGAGGCATTGTGAGGTATGATGTTTGCAGATGTTCCGTGTGTATGTCTCCAAAGGCTGGCTCAGTGCTGTTTCTTCAACATTACACGTTCACGTGTGTATGCAACACTGACTGTTTATACCCACGAGATGGCATTTGGCTCCCAGGGAGGGAAAAACCTGCCTTAGCACATTGTGGGGCTGGCCTGCCTCCACTGGCCTCTGACAGGAGATGGCTGGATGGAGGGTAGAGACAGACGCCTCCTGGACCAGCCCTCCTGGCCCCCTGCCCTTCTCTCTCCCGCATCACAATCTGATGCTCCAGGCTGGAGCCCAGCCTGTGGGAGTGAGCAGAAGAGGCTCCTTGGCGTCTTGATATCCAACCCCATCCATCTCGCTGCCTGACAGCTCCCCATGGGGCAGCTCCTTCCAGTTACATGAATGCACTCTGCCAGCCTAACCCCCCGCCAGAGCCCCATCTCCATGCACAGGAACCAGTGAACATCATGATTCAGGAATCCATTGTCATTGATTTAGCAAAAGGCACAGAGTCTTTCTTAGGCATTGCAAACCGAGGAAAGAATGGTAGGCAAAATAGACAGGGTCCGTATCCATGTGGAATGTACTAGAATCCAAGAGGTGAACATTAATCAGCCTCTGCAAACATGTGACATTTCAGCTATGGCTCGGGGTTTGTTGAAGGGGTGCAAAGTTCCAGGAGAACCGCTAGTATGGGGAGATTTGACCTGATCGGGAGCCTAATGGAAGGGTGGCTGGAGAGGTGACATCCCAGCCAAGATCTGAAGGACGAGGAGAAGGAATCCAGCAGAAAGGAGGGAAGGAAGAGGATATGAAGCAGAGAATACCTGCTCTACAAAGAGCAAGAGCTTGGCAAATGGGAGGAAGAGAAGAAGGTTGTGTGGGCAAAGCAGAAGGAGCAGAGGCGAGGACCATGTGAGACGGGGCTGAGGACCCAGACAAACCTCAGACACTCTCAAAGATCGTTAATGGAACAGGAATGAATAGAATGCAATTGAAATGGGGAATGTGTATGTGAGAGAAAGAGACAGGCAGATACACATTTGGGTTGGGAAGATCACGCTAACCAATATAGATCAGCCAGCAGTGGGTTGGAGGGGGTAGGAGTGGATAATGGAGTCCCTGGCTGGTACAAGGAGCTGGTAGCACTGTGGTTAAAGCACTGAGCTACTAACCAAAAGTTTGGTGTTCGAACTCACCAGCTGTTCCACAGGAGAAAAATAGGGCAGTCTGTAAAGATTTACTGCTTTGGAAACCCTATGGATCAGTTCTACTATAAGGTCATTATGAGTTGGAATCGACTCCATGGCAGTGGGTTTGGTTTGGTTTTGAGTGGCACAGATGGTTAAGTGCTGGACTGTTAGCCAAAAGGTTGGTGACTCAAACCCTCCCAGATGCACCTTGGAAGATGGGCCAGGCCATCTGCCTCCCAAAGATCATGGCCTTGAAAACACTGTGGAGCAGGTCTACTCTGTACCCATGGGGTCGCCATGAGTCACAATCAACCCGACGTCAACTAACAAGGACAACAACAGGAGAGATGCAGAAAAATCAGTTGAGAACTTGTACAGTCGTGGAGAGAGAAATGGTGATGGCTTGGACTAATAGAATTTGAAAGGATCCTTACTGCTGTAACTAATACCTGAATCTCTTCCATAGTATCCCTGCCAGGACAAGATGGTCAGCCTTCCCTCAGCCAGGTGTCACTTGAGACAGCCCTTTCTCATATGCACTCACAGCAACACCCTGCCTAGCAGTCTCCACACACACTCTAGCCCTGCCTCCAGCCTCGGCTGCTTGCCTGTGATTGACACCGTTTTCATCACTGTTGTCTTTACCCACCCAGATGCACAGAGAAGCCAGGACATACTTGGCTTTCCTCATGCTCTAGTCTCTTCTGTGCCCAGGTAGTAATCGCCAGTCTCCTGTGTGGGGTGGGACTTCCTCAGAGCAGGCCATCCCCCTTCTGGATTCCTTGTGGACCTGAGGAGGAAGTAATGGGAAATCCCAGGGGCCCAGATTTCTACAGAGAAGGTCCCTGGATGGTCCAAAGGTGCCTGCATGGCCCAAACGGTTAACGCTAACGCTCAGGTGTGAATTGAAATGTCAGCATTTAGAACAACCAACCCCAGTGGCTCTGTGGAGAAGGCCTGATAATCTGCTTCCACAAAGATTACAGCCAAGAACACCCTATGGTGCAGTTCTATGCTGTCGGACATGGGGTCGCCACGAGTCGGAATCAAAGGCAACGGGTCAATCTTTATGGAAACAGATCACGATGCCGCTGCGTGGCTTCGAACCACCAACCTTTCGATTAGTGGTTGAGGACAAATCATGTGTGCCACCCAGGATGGTTTGAAGAGAAGGGTCTAAATTCTACCTTTCTGACCCCCACCCTGTCAGCCCTGAGGCACCCTAGGTGACCATCATGGAGTCCCCCATCACGCTGTCCCTGCCGCTCCTCTCCCCTCAACGCAGCCCCCGGGGAACACGGAGCACTGTGACCTGCTTTGAAGCCTGGTTCTGACACCACCTAGGATGGATGCATCACTTTATGTCTCTAAGTCTCAGTGCCCGGATCTGGAAAACAGGGTTACGAATACCTCAAACCGTGGAGTTTTGGGGAGGGGAGGCAACATATGTCAAGTAGCTCGCCTGAGGGGGGAGCTCTCGTTAGTAGACCATAAGTATAACTACTTCCTAGATTCCCAGCACACCTCCCCCTTCCCTCGGCCCAGCTCACACCTTTGTGCAAGGGCCCTCTCCACCCCACCCCACACAAGCACCCTCTCCTCACACCCACTCCTGGCCTCCCCCTTGACTCCTTGGGGGTGGACAGAAGGTGCTGGGACGCCTGCTCTGGCCTCCTTCCTGCACATCCCACCTGCCAAGGAGCTGCCACCCGCCTTCCGCTCTATAAATAATAAACCAGGAACGCAAGAAACAAATAAGTCACAGCCGCAGAGTTAATGCCAAGAGTCGAAGGCACAGTCCTGCCCCATCTCCTCAGCCCCGGCCTCTGGAGACTGACTCGCCCCTCTGCTCTGGAAATGAAACATTCCCTTCCTTCAAACTGCCTTGATGACGTCCTCAGGCCCCATGGGGCCACTGAAATTCTTCCACTTGTTATTTAACTTGGAGGGAGAATTCTAATGTGGCCTCTTCTCCCACTGGGCACAAGAAGGAGCTTGAGGGAGGAGGAGGAGGAGGGAGGAGATTGGTCAATTGCTCCTCTGAGTCTCCACCTCTTCCTCCTGAGACTTTCCCAAGCCAGGAGGTCCTCTCCCGGGTGACGGAGCAGAGGCTGGCAGGACAGGAGCCAGGAGCCAGGCCAGGGGGCAGCCGTGGCCAGGCCCTGACCTGGGGACACAGCTGGAGGCCCTGTAGTACGGTGGCTGTGGACACAAGAGAACTCTAGAGCAGGGATTCAAACCGGTATGAACGAGTTCAGTCATGACCAATGAAGTGAAATCAGAACAACAGAGACAAATTTCTAAAATTTGAGTGATGAGGAATGCTAACTGGAATAGGAAAAATGATGGGTAGAAGCTTTGGAACAGGAGACTGGGCGATTGGACTATTGTCTGGAGAGGTACCGGGGCCAGATAAGGCAAAAAGCAAGGTAAGCACGGATTTACTTGTGCTGATTTACTAATCTGTAGTGAATAATTTCCTGTCTTTTCACCACATCAATGATTCTGCTTCT